TCTACGGTACGAACCCTCGGTGGCGGTTAAGATGAGTTCGCGGAAGACTCAGCGACCCTTGGAAGACACATTCACCGTCTGGGACAGGGCGCGGACTCTTAAAGATACTCATGCGACTGTGCAGACGACGCTTGGCGTGCAAGAAGATCCATAACGGATCATTGTTCACTTGATATTTGTATACTTGATTAGGACTTCTTATTAGGAATAGACCCAAAAGGGTAAACATAAATACAGAACAGAATTTCCACTCAAGCACACAGAGCGACGTCCGGCTTCAAGGTAAGCGTCTGGTCAAGCTTGTTTGAGTGTGTTATGCCTGTCGGTAAACTCGAAGCTCTGTAGCGAGGGTTCATCCGGCCAAGGCCAAGAGACTGTGTATTTTGGCCGATTATTATCGGTTTTTTTTTACGTGACGGCTTATTGTTGCCTATTTGCACAACTGGGAGTGCTTGAATTGCCTCCCTTTTATTCTTCCAGCCGAGTGTTGAACACTCGGTGACCTCGTAAAAGGCTTACCCGTGCCTGGTACCCTTCCGCTGTTGGGACCACGAGGATTCAAAACACCTGCTAGCTTTGCTCGTGCTAGTAGCGTGCTCTTAGTTTTACTGGTTGGCCTATATAAATAGTTTACAATGTCCAGTTTGTCCCGGTGCAAGGGCAGAACTGGGGTCTTCAGGTCTGCCCGAACGATCGTTTACTATCCTAGTAGACGTATTGTTGTGGGAACGTCCTAACTACATTTGTAGCTAGAGTTCACGTGGGAATTCCAACACCACAATACCGCCTTTCGCACGCACGCTGAAACTTACCAGTGGTGTGTAGCTCCTATGGGATTGGCCGGTATGCCTGGTGTTTGGTCTCGCCTCATGAGGGTACTCTTTGCGAAGTACCGATTCATTGTTGTCTACTTGGATGACGTTTGTGTCTTTTCCACCAGTCTCGAAGTGCATGTTGAACATCTTCAAACTCTCTTCGAGGTTCTACGTCGTGAGAATTTGTTCTGTCATCTCTCGAAGTGTCACTTTGGCCAGTCCAAAGTTAAGTTTCCCAGTTATACGATTTCTGCCAAATGACGTGCTGTTGATACTCGCAAGACTGAAGCGATTGCAAAGTGGCCTACGCCACTAAACCAGAAGCAACTACAAAGCTTTTTGGGTCTCGCAGGTTATTACCGTCGCTTTATCCGTGATTACGCCATTATTGCGTTGCCTCTTGGTTCTCTTGTCAAGAAAGAACATGTCTGGAGCTGGGGTCCAGAACAGACGCGTTCGTTTGAGGAAATCAAATCCGCTCTGCAAGAAGCACCCGTGTTGCAGCTACCGGATTACGAAAAACGTTTCATCGTGACAACAGATGCCTCTGGCTACTGTATTGGTGGCGTTATCTCTCAAGTTCGTTCAAGTCAAGATCATCCGATCGCCTTCTTCTCGAAGAAACTTGGTCCTCACGTGATCAATTGGCCAACACGCGAGAAAGAACCCTTCGCTATTAAATTAGCGCTTGACACGTGACGTCACTACCTATACGGTCGTGAATTTGATATCTACACAGACAACACTGCTTGCAAATGTTTTTTGCACCACCCGAAGGTTTCAGCGAAATTAGCTCGCTATTTGACGTTTTTCGCACAGTTTACGTTCAAGCTGCATCACGTTAAGGGACACCTCAATGTGGTTGCCGAAGCGTTGTCGCGTCAATTTTTGGGGCATGCGATCAATACGGCTACGTTTCATCAGTGTACCACGCGCTGCCATATCCGTGCAGCTCGAAACCTGACAAATCGACGCGTTAATACCGACTACCGCAGTCTTAACCAACATTTGGTTCAACCACCCTCTCGCCCTCAATTTCGTGGGGAGGATGTTGCTGCTGATTACTACACGCGCCCTATTCCGACCTTAACTCAAGCTTACCGACATGTACCAGTGGAAACTCCACGTACCGTCGCTGCGGCTGAGAATATTGTTGTGGCCACCAATGTGACCCAACAAGCTCAAAATTGGAGCTCGCCCGGTTGGTCTGATTCGATTAGCAGAGAATTCGCTGCTGGATATCGCAATTGCCCAGACTACGGAGATCGTTACAAGCATCCAGAACAACCATTTGTCAAACAAAATGGTTTACTTTTCCGCATGTACCAGACGATGATGCGCTTGTGTGTTCCGTTTACACGGGACAATCATCCTCGAACTTCCATCATCTCTTGCTTCCATGACTTCAATATTGCTGCTCATCCTGGAGCTCATCGAACGTACCTTCGCATTTCGCAATGGTATCATTGGCCCACTTTGGACCAAGACGTTCGCGATTATGTGCAAAGTTGTGAAACTTGCACTCGCTGGAAACACAGCAATGCTCGCAAGAATAGCAATATGATTCCCATTCCGATTCCTGAGGAATGCTGGTCTGTCGTCTCTATGGACTTTATCACTGGATTACCTGCTTCCAATGGTTTTGATGCAATATTGACTGTTGTCGACAAGTTGTCCAAGAGCCCAAAGTATCGTGCGTGCAACCGGACTGATGATGCACAGAAGACTGCGTATCACTTCTTTGATTGCGTTGTTCGCCATATCGATTATCATCAGCGATCGAGATTCCAAGTTCGTCTCCAAGTTCTGGTCATCCTTGGCTAAGCTAATGGGAATTCGTCTGCACATGACAACTTCCTATCGTGCCCAAGCCGATGGACAAACCGAACGCCAGAATCTGATTCTGGAAGACGCTATACGCTGGATGATATCGTACCACGGACGTGATTGGTCGGATAATCTCGGAACGCTTGAGTATGCTCATGCTACTCTCGTCAGCGCATTTACCGGTATGTCGCCCTTTGAAGTTGATACTGGACGCAAGGAACGGAATCCGTTGAATCCTTTGAGCAATCCCAGTACCATGACTCAAATTCAGCGTGGAATTGTTGAATATGCGAAACAGTTCCAAGCCAAACGCCAAGAGATCATTGATTTGGCAAATAAGCATCTTCTTCAAGCCCAAGAACGTCAGAAGAAGTACTATGACAAGAAGCGATCATCGATCACGTTCAAGGAAGGAGACTTAGTCATGCTAGATACACGTCGCATTCCTTCCGCCCATGTGACTCAAGACATTGATGGGAAACGAGCTAAGCTCGCTGCTCGCAAGATGGGACCATTCGAGATTGTGAAAATGATCAACCCAAATGTGGCCAAGTTGAATCTTCCGCGAAGCATGAGTCGTCTGAACTCCACGTTCAATGTGGACGTGTTGAGTCATTACGTTGAAAAACCGTCGCGTCTTAAGGCTCGTCCTATCCCAAAGGCCTCAAGACTGATTATTGACGACGACACTGGCGCAACGATGCATATCATCGAGAAGCTTCTTCGAAAGCGTCAATTCGATCGCAAACCTGAATGGCTTGTGAAATGGCCCGGATTGCCAGATCACGAAGCAACCTGGGAGCGCGAAAAAGACATCCGCCATGTGTCGCATTGGAAGGTTCTCGTTTCCGACTTCAACAAGCGTCAACGAGAAGTCAAGTCCGGGAGGATGTAACGACGCACCAACGTCACAGCCAGCGATGGCCAGCGATGGCCATGGCGTTGGTACCAATGCGTCCTATTTTCTTCTATTTTCTTCCTACTTGTCTTTGCTGACTGCCAACTGCCTTTTTAAGTTGCCAATGAGCGGCCAGGCAGACACAAGCCTGACCGGAAGGTAATCATCATGTTTGGACGAGTATTGCCAAACATGGAACATCAATGACAGTCATTCTTTTTCATTTGAATTCACTAAGGAGATCCTGACCCGGTTCAAATGAACCGCGGTTCACTACTACGCTACGCTACTTCAAGATTCGACTCAAGGACTACTTAGAATCTAGAATAGTGAAATGCATATACTCACATAAGGTACAAAGGGAATGCTAACAAGCACTTCCTCGTAGCCGACAAACAACTAACCATTTCAATCTCACTTTCCAATCTACCTTCCTCGAGACACATCAGTAGCCTCCTACGCCTTACCTTCGTTGGACTCTCGCCGCCCCCCCCCCCTCCGCTTCGCTCCTCGCCACGCGACTCTTCCCTCGTTGCTGTTCCTCTGCGCCGTGCTCTCACCAGTCGTCACACAACAGCAGCAGCAAGGCGTCTTGCGACACATTATTCAAATCCTTTAATCATAACTGGCACAGAATCGAGTGTCTAATGCCTTATTCTGAATCAGCACAAAATGAGCGCTGCATGCTTAAAATATTACAATTTGAATATTTTCTAGCTTACATTGAGTTTAGTATGAGAAGTGATCAATCTTCAGTTAATTACAAGCTCAAACAGGCAGTACAAGCGTGTACTTAGTGGAAACTGGACATGTCATTACTATAGTATCCTTTGCATTGATGCGAGCTAAGTTTCATAGCGGCTCAGGAACGGCCCATGATATCGAGCACGACGCTAAGCTAAATATATTGTGTGGCGTTTGTAGACATGTTATTTGAAGTGCAGGTGATTCAGTGATAGCCGACAATAATAAAGAGACTGTGTCAAGATCGCTACATGTAGAGTATTAATTTAGCATCGTAAGTATGATCTAGGGGCTCAGTCTTTTGTAGAAATAATTGCACGGCTTACGGGAAACTCAGCATTTTGTTGCGACTGGTCTACATGAAACCCAGATTTATTAAATTTTAAGAAGTCGATTTAGGCACATGGGGTTCAGAGCACGCCTAAAAAGAACCGAACCGGAACCTGGGTTCTGATAAAAAATCAGAACCACCTAGAATCAGGAACTGGGTTCTGATAATTTTGGGGTTCGGACACCATCCCACTTGAGACAGCAGAACTTCAACCGTCGGCTCAGAACCAGTTCATGCAACCGTCAAAGGTTCGATTTCTCATGACATCATTGGTCAGTTGTGAGCGGTAGTTACAAACCGAATCCGTGCGGCTTTAGATGGAGGGGATACCCTTTGGCTCCAAAGGGTCTCCAAAATTGGATACAACCACGGGATAGGATATAAGATGCTAGCGCGTGCAGCAGCCCGTCGCGCCAAAGCATCCCATGCAGAGCAAGATACTGAAAGAGGACAAGAGATAATGGAGATCGACGAGCTTGAGTCGCCGCATATATCCGGCCAGCCTGTGCAACGGCGTTGTCAGCTCAGAATTGAAGAAGAGATCGATGGAAACCAGCACAGGCGCCAAGTAGTTGTACAAGAAGAAATGGTAAGTTTAGAAGGGGGTGCATATCGAGAAAAAGTCTATGAACACGCGCTAATAGAGACCCGAACTCGTGCAATCGAGCACGAAAGACGCATAGAAGGCCGCATGAACCAGTTGGTCGCTCACAGCGACCACCAGCTAGCTCAATCTACCGAAGCCTCAGAGAGAAGAATTGAGCAGCAATTACAAGCGCAGCTAAATCAGTCCCATGAAGAGATTTGCTTAAGAGCGAAAGCTGAAACGCTGCATCTGCAGAACCCACTTCAAGTTGCGTTGGAGAAGGCTGAGACGGCATCTCACGAGCGTCATAAACAACTGACAATAGTACAAGAATCGCAGATATCAGAGTTGTCGGAGCAATTGAAAGCTCAAATTTCTTGAGCAGGCATCGACAAGTACATCATTAATGGCCGATCTGGAAAAGAGGCTCACACAGGCCAATAATTTGATAAAATCAGATATAAGAGCATATGCTACCCAGGTGGACACTCGTATCGAAGACACAGAGAACAACGCGCGTATATAAACAGACAGCCAAATATCCGATATCGAAACGCGGCTTCAACAAAAGTTCGATAGCGCTACCCAATCTCATCGCTCAGAAGCGAGACAGCAATCCGCTGATATCGCTCACCAACTGCAACTGCAGCTTCAAACTACGCAGATACGAATCGAAACGAACTAACGCTTAATAGAAAGCAGAATTCAATCGAAACAGGACCAACGAATTGGAGAGATGCAACAACAAACAGACACGCAACTTCGTGACTTCGGCAATCGCTTTAAAAGTACCCAGGCCGAGTTACCTCAACGCGTTGAGACTTTGGTAAAGTTGAGCTTGGAACGGCGCAACGACTCACTTCTAGACCAGCTTCAACAAAAGCTTTTGGAAGCGCAAGCCCAGCACCTCCGTGATATAGAATCTAAGAACCAGAACTCTCTCGCTGCTATAAGTGCAAAACTGGACAAGGCAGCGGTGGAAACGTCCGGCTTACACACAAAACAGGAGTTGTTTGAAAGTAGAATCGAACGAGCCATGCAACAGACAAAAAAAAGAAGTCAACGAGCACCTGAGGTCAATCATTCTCGGCTTGGACAAGCGGCACGATCCATGGTAAACCACACCCGTTGCAACTATCATTGAATCCTCTCAATATGTATCAGTTGCTAGCGAGACCCAAGCACCGATGTCATTAGAGACGAGACAACTCGAGATTCCTGATGCAGTAGTAAATTCACCAAAACGAGGAACAAGACCACTACCTGACACGCAACATGGCACTCAAGTACTATCGGGTGGCATGAGCCAGTCCCAAGAGTCAGTAGCACAATTTCAGCAAGCTAACTATGCTGAGAATAATTTATCGTCACCGCGCTGGGATGGCCGAGCACAACAATCATTGAATCAAGCAGCTTTAAGCAGACTGAATTTGCTTGAGGCTCGCAGGGCTGCACAGCGTGGTTTGAAATTACGAATTCGAGCAAGGTATGCAGCATTACGACGAGAAGCCATGTTGCGAAAGTGATTCATCTCGGCTCACTCATTTAACTCGATCCGTCTCCGCTCTTGACCAAATCACATCAATAGTTCATTTCGTTCGACTACATTATCCGCGGTAGTGTTTCAGCAATGACATGTATCACAACTTCCGACTCAGAAGTACTATCGATGCATTTGATACTTATACTAGCCCTTTAAACAAGGTTAGCTGGAGCAGTAACGAGAGCCGCCTCCACGGAAGCTTAGCGCTGATGCGGCATCATGTTGCATCTTCAAATGTGTAATCAGCGCCGATGAAAGGAGCAGAGCCGATTGCAAGATCGTTGCAGAGTCTTTTGTACGCGTCGGGAGCGATGACGGGCGCAACATAGCCCTTAAGGAAACGCCACTGATGCAGCGTCTCGCTGACTTGTTCCGTGAGCGTTTGACGAACGTGAAGACGTTCGTTCGAAGAGCTGCGGTGCGCGCTCTCGAAGCGCTTCTGAGGGCCCACGCAAGGCGACACGGCTCACGCATCATCCAAGAAAGACCAATTTGACATCCATGCGCGCGGTACAGACTCGTCTTTTGTTGTCCGTGCGCAGTCTATCAAGTCGTTGTCAGCAATTCTACTCAAGTTCCCACGCGATGAAGAAGCGCACAACCTGTGAAGCCTAGGTGTTCTCCCGCTGTATGGTGACTCGGAGACGAGTGTGCAATCTTGATCGTTGGAAGCGACAGGAAGAGCTGTGTTTGACCGAGTCCTAATGGGTGCCGAGTC